TTAAACTGTTAACTATACTAGAAATGAAGACTATTTAAAGTCTAAAAGATATTACATCTAATCTAGTCAATAAATATTGGTTATTGATTGTTTAGATTTTTTATATTACATCTAATCTAGCTAATCAAAATTTAGAAATTGTTAACACATAGACATTAGGCATACTATTGCTCTGCTTGTAGTGTTTTTGGATAATAACTACTACTATTTATAAAATACCAGGTAAATATATAGCATTATGTGTTTAGAGTATATAATAATTATTATATATTATATAAGTAATATAAAGTTTATTAAATACAATTTGGTTTATTTATTTTTATGTTTACTTCTGTATATCTAAAATATTTTAATTACATAATATACAGCATAATTAATAAAAATTTTCAAATTGTATTTTTGATATAATTATTATAAGTATTATATTAATATATTAAAAAGATAATATTTTTTGAGTCAAATATATCAAAAATATAACTTTTGTATTATATTACATAAAAATTAATAGTTTATTACAATGCTTTAGCTAACAAATAAATTAAAAATTATATATAAGAATAAAAGTTTAATCTAATTTATCTGCAACTTAAATTTACTAAAATAGTTAAAGTTCTTTTTTTAAAAAAAAATTAAAATAAGTATTTGTAATCTAAAATTTTATTGATAGTATATTTAGTTAATAGTTGTATTATAACTACAAAAGAAAACTATAAAAATAATATAACTAGCTGCTTATAAACTTTGGTTATTGTCTAATTTAAGTAGTTTGTTTGAAGGTTCTATACTAGCTGCTATATCTGAAACCTACTTGTAAGTTTTCTATTTAAACATTTTAGTTCTTATATTTATTTATCTACTTATATCTATTAATAATCTTAGTCAATATTAGTAAAAATATATTATTGTTACTAAGTTTTTAAAACAGTTCACTTATATAAATAACTTTTAACTTTATATTAAATCTTTCAGAATTTTTTGTATTTTATTCTTACAGTTAACTTGGTAATGCTATAGCTAAAACTAATACTTTTAGTTAGAACTTATTATTAAACTACTATGGCTTTGTAAAGTTTATTCTAATTTCAGTACTTATTTTCTATTATATTTCTATTACTTTAGTATTTAATTTAAGTTCTACTAAGTTTCCAGTTTAGATAACTTAAAAAGATAAATACAATTATATTTTTAGTTTATATATTTTTTAGTATATAATTTTTTTTTTTTAGAGTTTTGACAGTTTGGCTAATTACAACAGCCCTTTCTTAAAAACTAATATATTATCTAGCTTCACAAGTTCTAGCTTTATTTTTTAAATCTAGTCTTTACAATAGTATTGTTAAAAGTTTAGATTACTTTGTTACTTAGATTTTTCAAATAAACTTTCATTTTTCTGATTTTTGTAATTTATATAACTACAAGAACTTATTATAAGTTTATACTGTCTAATATCAGTTTATGTTTTTTTGTATAATAGTATATTACATGAATGTTATATGACCTTTTAGTTATACTAAAATAATACAGATAACAGATATCTTATTTAAATCAATAGCAAAATACAGTTAACTGTAATACAGAAAGAATTTTAAATTTTTATTAACACTAAGATTTGAATTTTAGATTTATTACTAAGAAAATAACAATATGATTATTTTGTTATATTACTATGCCTCTTATTAAAGCTTATTTAGATTTGAATATTTAGTATATAATTTAATAATATCTTATATTTAATTTATAAAATAAATCAAATGTTAATTTTGCAAATTGCTTAGTTAATAGAAAAAAATAAATAATTAATTAATTAGAAAGTTTACAAAAATATAAGTAAATATAATTTTTTTAAAACTATATATACCTAGTAATTAAGTTAATAATATTGTAGTTTAGTTAATAGATTAAGTTTAAAATTTGTTTTGCTATTTTTTTTAGTTAAAAAAATAAATACAATATGTTTTCTATAATTACTTATATGTTTTTTTTTGTTATTTTTTTTATAAACAGTCATGTTAGTGCTTTATTAAGATTTTTGAAATTATTATTGCAATTATATAAATATATCTAACAACTAAGCCTAGTATCACTTAGCTACTCTAATGGCATCTAAGTACAATCTGTTATATTATTTTTAGCAAAGATAAATTGCTTATCTGAATACTTAAAGTCTATAATGAAAAGTTTTTTTTCTTTTATGACAAGCTTCCAAATTGTATTTCTAACTTTCTTATCAATTTGTTTTTTTTTTCTCTTATTTTCTTTTTTTTTATTTCTATTTTTTGCTAAATTAATTATATAATTGTTTATTAATATTAAAAAGAATATCAATAATAATTTAAAAAGTAGTTTTGTATAGAATATCAAGTTTTTAAATTGTTAGTATAAAAGATTTTAAAATAAGTTCTTTAAAAATAAAATTAAAATAAACAATATAAGATAGATATGGGTATAATAGTGTATATGAATATTGTAGTACATCATTAATATCTCATGATTTAGTGATCAAATTTGAATGATTTTTGCACTATATGATTTGTCTTGTCAAAATAAATCAAATGATATAAAAATCATTTAAATCCGACTATTAGATCACAAGATACTATAGTTTAAGTTATTTTTTTTAGCTTTTTTTGTTTGATTTTTAACAAAGTTAACAATAATAATAATAGACTAAGATTATTTATTAAGCAAATAAGCACTTATACATTAAGCAAAATTATTTTTTAAGTCAAACTTCATATAACCTTAAAATTTAGAGAAATATAAGCAACTTTTTATTAGTTGGTATTATGCATCATTGTTATGTTCTAAAAATTAAAATTTGGTACAACATTGTATATTATTGTTTCTAGAAAACTTTAAGAAAAATTAACTGAATGATTATTCTGCCAATTCGATAAATAATTAATTTCGGTATGATCAAAATATTGTTTATTATTTGCAAAGATAGTCTAAAGCCTAGTACATAGCTAATCAATTTATAATTAATTTTTATGTGAAACTACAAGGCTTCAAATGATTGATAATTATATTTTTAGTGACAAAAGTTTACATGTTATTTAATCTTAGCTTTAATTAATATCATTTCTTACTATTATTATTATATGATAGTAATAAATAAGAATTTGCTTAATATTAGTAATATTATTTAATATTAGTTAAATAATAAAAAATAAATGTTAATTACTTAATCTAGCATGACCACCAAGATCAGTTACATGTGGAGTTTTAATGATTAATATGAAGATTTCTGTATGATTAATATATAAATAATTTTAAAAAAAAAACTTTTGATTTTCTTTTTTTCATATTTAAATCTTAAAGAAAATTTTTTGTAATATATCAAAAATTAATTAATATTAAATAGTTAAAAGAGGCATAGATTCAGGGAATGCAAGGCATGATAATTTTTTAAAAACACAGTAAAATGTCAATAGATAATAAGCTGTGCATATTTCTTTGTTCTTATTTTTAGTAAGCAGTTTTTTTTTATTAATCTTGAAAAATGAATGTTTATTTCTTTAAAGGTATATTTACTCAAAATTTATTAATATTTAAAAGAATGGATCTTATTGATGAATGTAAAACTGAAGAGACACAAGAAAAATTAAAAAGTTTGTAAAACTAAAGTTTAGAACTAGGTTATAGTAAACTAGATCACTTATATCAAAATGGTTTAGTCAGTTAGATTAGAATGCAATTAATCAATAATTGTCTGTAATTTAATAGAGGCCCAACTTTTTATAACATATTTAGAAGAATACATGTTTGCATTCTATTTCTATATTGTATTTAGTATGTTGATCCTCATTATACGAAAAGTTTTTAATAATAAATATATAATTAATCTTGAACAACTAATTTAATATAATGCTAAGTAGAAAATAATACTTAAGTTAAAAAGCAAACCATATTTGTACAAATAATATCAGTAAATGTTATTTTAATATAATATGCATAAATATTATTAGTACAATACAATAATCTATATCATAAAAATAAATAAAAAAGAATGTTATATATCAATGATAATATAAATTAAGTCATACCTTTTTGCATATTTCTAATTAATAGAAAAAATAAATAAATAAAATGCATAGTATAAACCTGCATTAAAAAAAAAAAGAAAGAAAAATATTACTAAACAGTAATCAATCTGTAAGACAAAATGCAATTCAAAATGCTCTTCAAGAACTTAAAAATTCTCAAACCAATCTTAAGCTACCAAGTTATAGAAGTATTACAAAAAAATTTGGCATCTCAAAAACCTCTCTAAGATGTGCCATTAAAAAATAACAACCTTCTTGATCGCTCAGACCCTGTCAAAGTCTTAACCAACTATGAAGAACAACAGTTTGTCAATTATTGCTTAAATATACAGAAGCTTGGTTTTGGATTAACAAGATTAGAGGTAAATTACTGTATGATGGAGATTGTTACAACAACTTGTTAGTTACTGTTTAAATATGCAAAAGCTTGGTTTTGGATTAACAAGATTAGGAGTAAATCACTGTGTAATAAAAATTGTTTATCAAAGCAATTAATTACACCTCTTTAGAAAAAGTGAGCCAGGTCAGTCATGATAGGAATGATTTATAAGAGACCACTCAGGGCTTTCATTTCATGTCTTACAAGCCTTAAATAAAGCACAAGCTTAAAGAGCTAACTCTGTTGTTATCAGAGATTACTTTCAAAAGCTTCAAAAAATAATTAAAAATCACTTACTTATGCCAGATTGAATTTGGATCATAATCTTTTTTTTCCTTTTGTTTCTTTTTTTTTTTTTTGTCTTTTTTTCATACCAATTTTTTTTTTTTAATTATATTTAGGACAAGACAGGATTTATTATTAATCCAACTCTTTAAAAAGTTATCTCAAAAAAGGATTCCTATTAAGTTTATCAGATTTCACATAAAAACTTCCAAGAACATATTTTAGTATGTTCAACTATCTTAGCTGCCAGAACATATATACCACCATTAATCATCTTCAAGAGAAAACACATGATTCCTGGTCTTTTGAATGGTGCATTTGCAGGTTCTGTTATGGGGTTTACAGATACAGGATATATGAAAGAATGTCTTTTTCAAAAATACATTAAATATTTTATTCATTCAATACCACCTACCTGTCTTGTTCTATTAATTCTTGATAGTTATAAAAGTTATATTAGTTATACATATATTTAACTTATGTTTTAATAATAAAATTCTCCTGTATATACTCTTACCCCATATAATCTATATACTTTAACCTACAGAACTTTCTTTTGCTCAGCTTAAAAAAGCCTACAATAAAGGCTATGAGCAGCTCTGTTTAGATAATAATAGTGAATTAGTTACAAAATATACATTTACTAAAATTTTTGGCTTGGCTTATATTAAAACCTACACATCTATATCTATTTGTAATGTTTTCAAAACAACTAGAATTTGGCTGTTTAACTCAAATGCAATTAGTTCTGACTGTCTTGATCCTTCTCTAGCAACAGAACAATTCGATATTTTGCCAATTCAACCTATATTAGCTTCATCATCTTCATAATTTTCTTTAACACAATCTTAATCTATATCAACTTATCTGTTACAATCTTTTAACTTAGATCCAAGTTCTAACTTTATCATTAATAAAAAAAAATCATTGAAAATAGAGGTTGAATCACTTAATATTAAAGTTAATCAGTTAAAAGCAGAGTTAAAAGCAATAAAAGATGAATTGGCAACTTTAAAAAATTCTGGCATCTGTTCTTTATGTTTAGCACTCAAGTATCCTCTTCTTTATATCTTTTAAATAGCTAAAAATTCAGATCAAGTTATAATTCAACCTGAAGCATAGCTACAAAAGAGAAAAAAAAAAAACTATGCTATTTTTCAAACTTCTTATAAATGAAGCATCTCTTAAGTTATTGAAAGATGTGAAGAAAAAGGCCAAGAAAAAAGCTAATGAAATTAAGCAAAAAAAAGAAGTTGTCATACAAAAAAGAATTGATAGGACACAAAAAAAGAAAGAATTAAAATGTGCAAGAGAAGAAAAACAATTTATTAAGAAAAAGAACAATAAATAATTTACATATGCAAGTTTGTACATATCAGGTAACAGATATCAGAATAGGTAGTTAGTAAAGTAGTACTGTGCAATTGTACAGATGTATGAAAATTAAGCCTCTGTTATAAAATAATTATCAGTCATGCAGATATTTGAATAGTGTATATTTTTGTATATGTACTAGTAATGGTAAAGTTAATTGTTTTGTGATCTGATATGAACTATAAAAATATCTGCATAATCTAACAAAGGAGTAGTTTGGCCTATTGTATATGGTATGTAATTACAAGTAAACCTGTTTTTAATGTTTAAGATTAGGCAAGTGCAAGCATTGTTTTTTTTCATATAAAGTTGTGAAAAAATTATAAAAAATTTTTTTCTTTACAAACCATATATTTATTATAATTTCTACATATTTTTCACAATTTGCATTTTCATACTGTATTAAATTTACTATATACCAATATAAGTAAAATAATCATTATACATAGTGCACCATTTTTAGTATATCTCTTAAAATTTATAAATTTTGAACAAAATTAAATTGACATTAGTAGAGTTTTTATTTGTATATTAAAATTTTTTAATTTTGATAAAAATTATTATTTTTAAAACTTAAATTAATATATTTTAAAAAAAATTTATAGATTTTTATATTATCTTTTAGAGTTTATTTTTATCAAAATTAACTGCATCATTATATTTATATCTACTTTATATAAAAAATTAAAACAGAATAATAAAAAATTTTGTTAATTAGATTATTTTTTTTTTGGTATTAAAATGACCTCTTAGGTCTGAGCTTTTTATTAATACTTATAGCAGATATATGTTTTATATAAACATATCTATAATGAACTATTAAACGAGTGTACAACTAGTTATACGAATAACTTTTCTATATTACCTATTTAAGAAGTCTGCTCGAGGGTTCCCCACCAGTTGCCATACCTAACACCCCTGCTTAGGTGTTCTATTTAAACCCTTTGATCTAATTCTAGTATTAATTTCACTAGGTCACAAACCCAGATCTATTCGCTATCAACCATAGGACTATAATCTTTAGGCTATTTTTATCCTTGAAATAAACCTACCAGAGTGAGCTATATTCTCTTTTACAGCTAACCTGGTTTGATGCTATGGCTGAAACCAACACTTGCAGTTAGGATTACCTCTTAAACCACTATTACTCTTGTAAAGTTCATTCAAACCCTGGTATCCATCTTTTTAACTTTTTCTTCATCATCCCCTACTAGCCCAACTCAGAACTAACTGACTCCTTAGACTCCCAATCCAGATGGCCTGGTATGATATACTTATGTATTTTTTTCCTTTGGCAATTCTGGCAGCCTGGTTGGTCATGTGCTCCTCTACACATCTTTGTTATCCAGTTTTATCTAACAGTTCCTATGAAGGTGTTTCATGGGCTTTTATCAGTCCAATGGCATTATCAAAAGTTTGTGCTACCTTTTTACTTAGGATTTCTAAGTAAGTTTCTGTCTCTTCAGTTTCTTAGCCTTCTACGCTCAGTGGTCTTATCATAGGTTTGCCTGAAGCCTTATATGATACTGGTTTTACATTCCTCTATGTATATGTACTGTGTAATATTACACTTTACATAGATGCCCCAAGCTCCCAATGTTAGGTAGAACCCAACTTGGTGTACTTAAAATTACAGATGCCTAAAACCCAACTGATCAGCAAGAGACAGTTATCATAATACAGGTATAATTTTCAAAATTCATCATCTATGGGAATTGAACTTTAGATCTGCTACTTGAGAGTTGACAACCTATCTACTTCACTAGGTCATCACACTTTTGTTAATTAGATTATATTTTTGTTAAATATTAAAATTAAATAAGGCTTTAACTTTAGAATCAATAGCATAGCAATTATGCTTTAAGGTTACAAATTATAAGGCTGTTAGTTCAAATTTTAGTAATAGTAATTGTAAAAATATATTTTTAAAAATAAAGAACTGAAACATCATAGGACCAAAAACTCAAAATGTCAATAAATAGACTTATTTTAAAAATAACAAATAAGGGAAATAGCACTTATTATATAAATATACCCCCCTAGGGAAATGTCAATTGATTATGTTTCATATCCCAGAGTCAATTTTTTGACAATTACAAGTTTTAAAGTAATTAATAATATAATTATATAAATCTTACATATTTTATAACCCCCTTGTATATTTTTATATACCCCTTGCATAGTTATGCATGGTTATGCATATCTATATATAAATATGCATAAATATGTATAACAATGCAAGAGGTACATAAAAATATGCAAGAGGTTATAAAATATATAAGATTTATATAATTATATTATTAATTACTTTAAAACTTGTCATTATTTTATTATTCAACTCTTTTCACTGATTCTCATTTTCTATAAACAAACAAAAAACAAAAAATTTTTACAGCAAAACTAAGTCACAGAAGTCAACAACAAATACAAGAAAGAGAGAAAAAACAGGAGCTCCACAACTAGCAACATTTTAAACAAGTGTAAGCTAGAGAAAACAAGCAGAGGCACATATTACAGAAAGAAAGCAACTAATTTCTGCGTTAACAAAAACAAAAAACAAAAAGTGGGCACTCTACAGAGACCTAGTATTGCAGATCACCAAAACAAAACAACAACAACACGTGCACGTGAAAATATCAACAAAGTAAACAAAGCACTAAAAAGGCAATAAGTAGTAGTCTATAATAGCAGTATAGCAATATAAACAAATAGATACAAATTTCATATGAGTTACAGAAGTAGTATTAGATAATCAGATTATCATAGAATATCTAGAAAAGTACAGAGGTCTATTTGAGTGACAGGAGAAAGAAATTATAGAAAGCCTAAGTGAATTAAATATCTTTATGCTAAAGCAAGATATAGAAATAGCAAAGCACTTAGGTATCACAAAACCAGAAACAGTATATATTGTCAGACAGGCAATAGAAGTATACAACTGGAAAGAGTATCAAGAAGCAATCGGCAAGAAAGATAAAGCAAGTAAAATTAGCATCCCAAGTATGCTAGAAAGAACAGCTAAAGAGGTATTTAGCAAAAAGCTTGCATTAATACTATTAGAAACAGAAACAACAGATTATAAAAATGAGAAACTAGAACAACAAATTCTAAGCTTTATCAACAACCTAGAGGAAGGAAATCCTAGTAGCTTAGAAGAAAAAGAGGAGTATATAGATAAGAATGAAAATAAGAGAGAAAAAGAAAGAGAGATTAATGACAAAGAGGGTAATCAAGAAGATATAAATAAAGAAATAGAAATTATAGAGACAGAGAAGATAGAAGAGAAGAAAGCCTTAAAGAATAGGAGCATAGAAGAAAGAAAGCCACGAGAACCTGCAAAGGAAAAAATGCAAAGTACAATATGGGATCTTCCATATAATATTAATGCAAAACAAATAGCTAAACTGGTCAAAAAAATAGGAAAACCTGATGAAATACATATACAACACAGTATGAATAAAAAAACCCGAGCAGAAATAGAATGGAGTACAGCAGACCAAGACCTTAAAGATAGGCTAAAAAGAATCTAGGTATTACCACTAAGAAGCGGCCACTTAGCAAGAATAACAGTAGGAAGAAGTAACAGTTCAGAACTCGAAGAAAGAAGAAGAATCCATGCTAGAATTAAGAAGCTGCCTAGCTATACAAAAGAAACTCTTTTGCTAAGACAGTTGAGAAACATCAATGCAAAAGCAGTACATATCTTCTTGAACAAAAATGGTAACCAAAGAAGCCAGGCCATAGTTGAATTTGAAAATGAAGAAGACAAAGAAAGAGCGATAGGTAGAAGAATAAAGTACTTTAATCATAGTCTGGAATGGGAGACTGAAAGAAGTTATGAAAATAGAGAAAGGTTAGGTACTGGAAACGAAATGTCTAACAGAATTTCCAAAAGAAGAACTCAAGAACAAACTCAGCATACAACAAGAGAAAAAAATAATAAAGAAAATTGGAATATTACGAGTTCGAGGGAAAAAGAGAAGAAGAAAGATATGGAAACTAGAAAAAAGAAGAAACAAGATAAAGAAAATGAAGAAAAAAAAGAAGCAATCGAAGAAATCCTTCAGAGATTAGTAAAAGAAGTTAGAGAGAAGCTATATAAGGAGGTGTTAGAAAATACGAGGAGTAAAGCAGATACTCCCTATCACTTCTAAGATAGTCGCCACAGTTGTTTATAAGAATGTACCTACAGAGAGAAGGCTCAGCTCAGTAGGAATGAAGTCAAACAAGAAAGAGCCAGTGAGAATAGAAATGACTAGTGAAGAAGAAGATCAATATAAAACAATAAGATTGGGAGTACATAATATAAACAGCATCAAAGGAAACAGTTATAAGCTTTAAGAGCTACTAGACTATTGTAAAGCTCAAAAACTTAATGTAATAGGAATAACAGAAACCAACGTAAAGGAGAAAGAAGCAAAATTTATGAAGATACAAAAAGAGGGTTATAAAGATTATTGGTCAAGTGCAGATCTAAACAAACATAAAGGCTCAGGAGTAGGCGTATTAGTAGACAATGAGTGGAGCAAACATATTACAAAGATAAAAAAACCAAACGCATACCTGATCAAAACAGTATTCACATTCAAAAAAGCAGCAATCATATGCTGGATAATGTATCTGCTACCAAATGATAGAAACTTACAAAAGGATATTCAAAGAATTATAACACAAGTTGTATGCATAGCTAAAAGAAACTCTCATTACATCATAATAGGGAATTTCAACAGAATACTAGACTCAGAGCTAGACACAACAAGCAGCTTAAAAGAAAAATGTAAGAAGCTTCTACTAATAGAATGATTAAAAAGTATTGGATTTACAGAAACATTTTGGCATTGCAATCCAACACAATGAAAGTTTACATGGTCCAATAGTGTAACTAAGACAAGAATCGATCAAATATGGGCAGCAAGTTCTCTAAAATTAGGAATAGAAAACAGTGACATCGAGAAGATGAAGATTATAACAAATAGT